CGCTCGTCTCCGCTGCGGCCGCGCCGCCTGCAGCAGCACTAGCTGCTCCTCCCCGGCGGCCGCCCCCCGCGGGTCCCTCCCTGGCTGCGGGAGAGACGGCGGTAGAGGGAGGACGCGGAGCCGCGACGCCGGCACCGGAGACCTTCGCCTCGGCCCGCTGGCTCCTCGCTCTCCAGGAGGAACATGGGTAAGTCACCCTCCCTCCCCCGTCATCGCCTGACATTTTTCTCCCTCTCAGCGTGCTGCAGGGTGGGAAGCGTTTTTCGCGCAAAGTTGCCGGATTTCTGCCCTCCGCGGGTGCGAGACGGCGGCTCCTGCTCCGGGGAGAGTCGGCGCACGCGGAACGCACGCCGGGCGCCCGGGCTGGGAGGGTCCGGCCGCGGGGTGGGGTCACCTCGCTGCTCGCCCTCCCCTCCTCCATTCTTCCTGCCGGTGTCGGGCTGCACGGAGCCGGCCTCGCGGGATGGCATCCTCCGTTCGCGCTCCGCTTCTCCCGAGGCCGCTTGCTGCTTCCCCCGGAGGCTGCCGAGCTTCAGGCTCGGGTCCGGCCACGAAGAAGACCACTTGGTGTAACTTCCTTCCCTGCGGGTGCGACCTCTCCCCATCTGAGGGACTCCGCCTCCCAGGCAGGGAAGTGGAAGCAAGTAGTTTGTGAGGGCGATTTACAACCTGCACGGAGATGATTTTTCGTGGGGGAGAGCGAACAGCCTCATAGGTTGGAGAGATGACTTGTCAGAGGCCACGAGGAACGTGAGGCAGGGGAGCTAGCTGTTGAATCCGTGTTGGGTGGCTACAAGGTACATCTTCCTGTGCTCAACCTATTTTCTCGGTCCCTTCGTCTGCTGCTGTAGCGGGAATCTGTACTCTGCAACGTGTTGTCACACAACTTCTATGCTAGTTATTCTTTCCCAGCTTCCTCTGCCCAAATCTGCATAATCTGATTTTAGTTCCTTTGTATTTATAGTTAATCTGTAGCGATGGGTTGAGATGAGATATTTAAAAGTCAGTGTGTTTTATGAAACTATATAGAATTCAACCTAGAATTGTTACATCCTATGTTGCTTGTTAATTCAGTAATCACAAAAACGTCCTATGAATGCTGGGGCTTAATAGCTGAAAGTTTATTTTAATAGTGCAGCTTCTAATACGGTACTTCTAAACATGCCCCTCAGTTTGTTTCCACTCCTGTCATAATTTCCTTTTTAAAATTTGCTCCACTGGCATCTGTCAACTTGGACTTTTCCTACCTCTTCTGTGCAGGTTATTGTAAGCTTAAGATGAGTATGGTTCTTTCATCTGTCAATACGGTGCTCAACACGTCCAGAGTTAGGTCATGCAACTCAGAATCTTCAAGGAAGTATCTAAATCTAGAAATGGTGTCGGTGGAGCTTCCTGGAAAAGCAAATGGCCCAAGCTCTGATTCAGACCTTTGGCCATACATCGAGAAGAGGCCAGTGTTGCAGGAGGAGGTGGTATGAATAAAAAATAATCTAGGGTTTTGAAATTTATTTTCAGTTGTTTCCCTTTCAATGTGACTACTCTTGATATGCTGAGCAAATTTCTGTAAAAATTGTGTGGCCCATTTATGGGTGCTCTTTCTCCTAGAAGTAGAATTTTAAATAAATATTATTTAAGATTATAGAACATACTATGTATTTCCTTTGAACATACACAGATTTGGCCCGTAAAATACAGTTGCCCATATTTCAAGGTGAGCTTAGAAAATCCATTTTAACTAAAATTTTAACTAACATGTTGAATCAGTACTTTTTCACTGGAAAAATTCCAGTTCTTTTGCAACAGTAGTTAATAAAAATGCCTCAAAGAAATGAAATTATCTACTTAAATTAGTATTGAAAAATCTTGAATGCTATTATTTGATTTTAAAAAAGAGGCCAAGTAGAAACCCATCTCTTATTTTAAAGCCTTCTCAGATATTATGTGGTTAGCTTACTCTCTCTCTCTCCTCATAGCACTGTTTGTACTACCTTGTTAGAAGCTTTTTAGCACATATATAGCCTACCTTATAATGGAGTTGTTTGTGTGTGTGTGTGTGTGTGTGTATACTGTATATTTATGTGTGTGTGTGTGTATACTGTATATTTATTGAGTTCCTGAAGGTGAAAATGAAAATTACATCTTACTAATTTTTGTGTCCCCCATAGTGCTTTTCATGTAGTAGGAATTCAATAAATCTTTAGCAGATTAATTGTTGAACGTAAAACCACCTATTATTTTCAGCTTTCAAACCTGAAAATAAAGACACTCAACAAACATTTGAGTTGGTACATATTATGGAGGTGTGGAATAAGAAGGGACAGATAAATATAATTGTACTATGGTCTTTCTTCTCTTTAAAAAAAAGTTAGGTTGTCTCAGAGGTACGGGTTTTGAATCAACCTCAGACAAGCCAATTCCATCTACACTGCACTTCTAGATGGTAAGGTGGTTTCGTGTGTGATCAGTAGGTACATATAATGTACAATTGAAACCTTGGAAAACAGTTTTATATCTGGGCCAAGGAAGTTATTATAACCATATACATATAAGAAGGTAGAAGAAGGTACACTGATTAGTGACAGGGGAAAGAAGTGCTTTTTAATCTGTTTTCTCAAAAAATTTAAGGTTGATTTTTTAAAAAAGATATTCTCATGGTAGTGATTTTCTTCACAAGAAAGTGAAGGAATGAACATAACCTTATGGACGATAGCTATTATTTTATGTATATGTTGTATTGTAAATTCAACATATATTTAATATTTATTGGTTATTAGCAGTGTGCAATGTACTGGAGAAGGACAAAGATGAATAAGACATTCATGTTTCAAGTTGCTTATAATTTTAACAGGAATGATGTACCACATACACAAGTAACCATAGTAGGAATAAATGTATAAGTGTTATAAAGGACCTTTATATATATGTTACACATTCAGGGGATGGAGAGAAAGTTTTAGAGAAATGGCATTATTTGACCAAAGGTTGGTTAAACTTCTGAAAAATAGAAGTGAGCCTGTTAATCAGAATGGGGTTGGGAGGGGAGAGAAATGACATAAATGATCGAAAGGGAACATTTGAGGAATTTCCAGGATATGATTAAATCATCGTGCTTGGCTAGAGCAGAAGGTAAATAAATAGTGAGTGATGGACCTGAAAAAAAGTATTACAGTAATAGCTAATGACCAGATAATGGAGGTCCTAAAATGTCAAGCTGAAGAAGAGTTTGAACCTAACTTACCTGTTGAGACAACCAAATATTTTTATGCTGTTAAGTGATGGATCACAGCTGTAGTTTAGGAAAATTAGTCTGTTAATTGAGTGCAGGATGGATTGGATGAGAAACTAGAGAATGCTTCAGAAGGTGGTTGTTACAGTTTGGGTGGAGTGTCTAATGGCCTGAACTTGTGGCAATAGGAATAGAATATTGCAAATAAAGAACAGGATTTACTTGCTAACCCATTGAATATGGAACTGAGAGAAGAGTTACAGATTTTAGCCTGGTGATAATGAGATTGTGGGAATCTTAATACATAATAAGTCCACTGGAAAGGGAAACACAAATACTCAGTTTGGGACTTGCTGAGTTAGACTTTTTGGTCTGTCATTCAGATGTCCCTTGATGACAGGGACTTTATCATATTAGGACTTGAATATATTTCTAACACTAGTGTCTGGCACGTAGTAGCTATGCAGTAAAAATTGACTGAAAGTAGGTAAAAAATAGTTAACAGTTAGTTTAATTCTCAAGAGTAGAATTTGAACCAGAGATTGAGAAGTTATCCATGAATATGTTGAGATGAAGAAAAAGAGGAAAATTCAAGGTATGAATCTTGAGGAATAGGGTTTCTCAGGTTTCCCATATTTAGGGAAAAGGAATGGCATGATTTTATGCTAAAAAAGATAGAAGTAGGTATGAGTGAAATACTAGAATTGGTGGGTGTATGGTTAATTCTAAGAAAGAGTGAATGGTCAATAATGTCCTTTGCTTCAGAACAGACAAGGTGATAAAGTCTGAGAAAAAGATCTAAGTTGATGTGGTTTGGTTAGAATATTACCCAATATATTATCCAGAAAAACAGCTTAAAGAGGTATGGTAGACATGAAGGTCAGTTGTGAAGTCTAAGTAAATAATGAGTAAGTGGAAACAGAGTTCACTAGGTATAGTCAAGCTGTCTTTGTTGCTGTGTTGAAAGATCTGTAAGAAAACATAACTTTTAAAAAATATTTTTTAAATGTTGCATTTTATGTGGAATGACACATAGCGTCTTGACTGAGAATAATTTGTAATTTCACTATAGTGCTTCACATTTCTCTTGACATTTCATTTTTTATGTCTTTATACCCTAGTATAGTACCATGTATAGTACCATTTTTGTAATTTCTGTCATGCAGAGTGAGTTTAGAATGATTTTATAATTTTTCATGGAATTTTGCACAAAGAATACTCTTTACTGATGAATGGTGATTTTATCTTTTAATTTACTGTTAGACTTTGTGAATTTGGGACTTCTCTAGCTTTTATGTATGTCTTTAATTATACTCTTAATTCTTGGAGTTATTTTTTTCTCTGTAGATATGTATCAAACTTATAGATAGTCCTTTTCTTTTGCTTGTATATACAAGTCCAGTAGTGGTTTGCATGTATAAATAATAAATACAAGTTTTCTTGCTCTTTGCAAGTTGAGGTAGGGTGATGAAATATTTTTGAAAGCTGGTAATTACTCAAGTTTATAATTTTAAAAGAGCATAGATGATAGATTGACAAGTTCATTAGTTTTTCTTATGTTGGCATTGTATCTGTTTTGTGTATGTTCATTTTTTCCATATGGAAGAAGGGATGAATTTACCATTCTTGTAGAATCATATTCTGAAGTGACTAATGTTATGGTATTTGAAATGTTATAATAGCTTGAGTTCATTTTGAGAACCAAAGACTTTCTCCTTTTATAGTGGTATCCTGGAATTTTTAGGTAACTTTGGAGTAGTGTGGTTGCTCTCTTCAGAGATTCCTGATCACCTGAGTTTGAACTTGGCAATTCTGGAGTTACTGGTGGCACCAGCAACAGCCATTAGAATTACCTAAATATTAATACTCAGTAATGAACATCACGAAGAATCGAGGAGGGTGATCCACTCTTTTGAGAACCCCATATAATTTTAGAAAGTCAAATTGTTCAGGTAACTGAT